TGGGAGGCGGGTGGCGATCGGCCGGCCGGGGTCGCGGCCTTCGGGCTGGGGGCGCGGCCTCCTCTGCGGCCCGGACCCGCGCGAACTTTATTTCCCGACCGCGGGCTCGGCAGCGGCGGCCTGGCCGCCACCTCGGGGTCGTTCCGCGTCGCCGGCGTCTCCTCCCCGGGGAGCCCGGACATCTGTCGGAGCTGGCCGAGGTGCCGGCCAGGCTGCGGGACGTAGCCCGGCATCCGGGCCGGGGCAGGTGCGAGGAGCGCGCAGCCCGATTCCTGCCCGGCTCAGCGGAGCCCCGCACCCGGGGCCGGCGCTCTGCAGTCGGTGGACTCTGCGTAGACAGGATGCCCGGGGAGTCGAGTCGTGCCTGCTGGGCGGGTGGAATAACGCTCGCCTTCCCCGAGGGTTGGACGGGCTGCTAGGTCGCGCTGCGTGGGGCGGTTCTTCCCGAGGGCTCCTGGCCCTCCTGCTCCATCGCTCTAGGCTCCCACACCCAGAGCCTTATGGTAATAATGGTGTTGGCTCTAAGCCTTCGTTTTATAGGTGCAGTTCATTGATATGGGGTATCTGTTTTAAAGAGCTTTAAGTACGCAGCAACTTTTTCTCTGCTAGCTTTTCGCTGGCATCCTTCATGCTGAAAGATTGCAGCGTTTGGACAGGGCGGGAGGAGAAACGCGTTCCTGTAATGTACGTGAAGATACTTTGTCAACTGCCAAGTTGCATGTCAGCGCGTTTGCTGGGTGATGACGGAGCACTGCTATACCAGACGGACGCCCCCGCCTTGGAGCTCACACTTTAGTAGGGACCACAGAAAATACACGGGGAAAAGCATACCTGATGTGTCAGACGTCCTTTAGGGTGGAGAAGAAGCAGGGAAGAGGGACACTGTGACCTGGACAAGCAGCTTTAGCCAGAGGTAGCCAAGGAGGGCCTCCTGGAGAAGGCGATGTTTGAAAGGAGACAGGAAGTGAAGGGCCGCCATGCAGTGGGGAAGGGTGTGCACAGGAAGGGGGATGCACCTCCGAAGCCCAGCGCCAGGAGTGTGATGGGCTCCTTTGAAGGTAGCAGGCTGATTTGGCTGGGGGAGTGAGCAAAGGAAGAGCCCTGATGAAGTCAGAGGTCGAGGAGCAGCGGGTGGTGGAAGGCCTTGGCGGTCCTTTGTACAGACTTGGGTTCTACTCGGAGTGAGAAGGGGAGTCAGCCCTCTGAATAGAGAAAAAATGTAATGAGACTTACCTAAAAAGGGTCAGTCTGGAGGCTGGATGGAAGAGACTTGTTTGGGAGGGATTGTGTGGGAGCAGAGCTTGGGGTGCCAGCTCGGGTACAGCAGCCCAAATCCAGGCCAGGGGTGATGTTGCATGGGCCAGAGAGGAATGGGTGGGGAGGCTGTGATGGATCGAGGGTGGAGAGGAAGAGGCCACCGAACACTTGTCCAGAGCAAGCAGAAGGCTTGGGTAGATACATGTTGAGATGAGGTTTATGGGAAGAATTTGGCGGACAGATTAGGCGTTGGCGAGAAGACAATAAAGTTAGAAGTCCGAGTGGAGATTATTACTAGTAAACTTTAATGACTTTGTATGGAAGAATTTCTTGCATCACCTCGATTACACCAGGGGTTAACATTCTCTCCCGTGAACTGCCCACGTTTATCTCGCGCCCGTTGCTCTGTCCCCAGTCTCCTCACGATTTCCCACGTGGGCTTGACTGTTTGCTCACACCCAGAGCGCGTGCGTGAATCCCAGTGGTAGAGAAGCCGAATACCCAGGATCCCAGAGTGCCTTTTTGGTCTGTTGTTGTATTCAGTTGAAACGCCCTCATCTGATTCATCTTTTTCTGAATTATCATTAGATACCTGGTTTAAGTTCAAAAAAAGTTTTAACCCCCTGGAATGTTGTTATCAAATGTGACTTCACTGGGCCATCTGTGAGATTATAATGGGAATGATCTGAATTGTTAATACTTTAGCAGTGAATTGGGAATAGACAAGCATTATCCTATCCTGTCATTAAAGATGGCCTGAAATGAATGGGCCATCACATGTTAAATGGGGATTTAAAAAATCAAATTATACAGTTTTTGGAGTAAGAGAATTGAGCTATAAAACCTGGTTCACAATCAGACATCAGGAAGTGAAGTTGTGCTTGCTCCTTACCTTAAAAATCAGGACATGGGCTAATATGTTTAAATGGATTTTTTAACTTAAATCTATCCTGAAAATACTTGAAAATCCGTCAGATTAATAACTAATTGCAGACTGATCGTGGGGCGGGTGAAGACAGTGTGTCCTCGTTGATCGTTTCCCTGCGGCTTTGTACCAGGGTCTGGCCCTGTCTCTCTTACCTCTCTTAGTCTTCTTTTTCGTAACAGAGAGGTTTCATACATTTAGAATTTTTGAATGCTTTCTAGGTCTAACTGCTGGGGGGAAAAACTTACCCAATAATGTGAAAGAATCATGCTTAAAGTCGGTCATCTTAATTCATCGGGGACTCGGGCCCTGCTGCTGTGCAAGGAATGGCTGACACTCAGTGGCTGAGGCCACGTGGGAGGCCTGGGTTCGATGCTGGTCCACCCTAAAAGCCAGGTGTGATGGCATGTGCCCATAGTCCCGGCTACTTGGAAGGCTGAGGCAAGAGGACTGCCTCAAAATAATTTACCCTGCCTTAAAAAAGAAAACGGAATCAGATAATTTTCCAAAAGGCGAGTCGTGGTTCCATTCAGAGGTGATTATCTGAAATCGGATGAGGAAATAAGAGCTTCCCGCTGCTGGAAGTAAGCAGAAGAAGCAGACAAGGTGGGGTCGAGCATACGAGCAGTACGCGCGGCCCGTCGCACCACTGCTGCCGTTTGTCTGTGAAAGGAGAGAGGTAACACAGTGGGTTACTGCTCAGCGATTGAAGAGCACCGGACTGTAGCTCACGCAGCCACTCGGGTAAATCTCACTGTAACTGCACTGCATGGAACAAGCCAGGCCAGAAGGAGAACGAGAATGCCTGCGACTGCTTCCATCTTCCATGCGTTCTCGGAAGCGCATGCTGATGGTGGTGGCAGAGCAGAGTAGCAGTGGCCTGGGGGAGAAGGGGCGGGCGGAAGGGAAGGGTACGTGGACAGGAAACTTCAGGCGCTGGCAGATAGGGTCACTGTTTTCACTGTGATGTCGGCTTTGTGACTGTTCACTTACTGCAAGTGATCGAGTTATAACTTTAAATACATGCAGTTCGTTACATGTTGATGCCTTAGTAAAGTGTTGTTTCGAAGTGGCTTGACCGTGAGAAGACGTGGAGGAATTTAAATGTGGGTCACTGAGTGAAAGACACCAATCTGAAAAGGCTACGAGCTGTGTGATTCCAACTCTGTGGCTTTCTGGAAAGGCAGTGCTGAGGGGGCAGAGAGGATTTGGAGTCAGTGAGCCTACTCTGTAAGATGCTGCAGGGGTGGATACATGTCATAAGTTTTTTTTTTTTTTTTGAGAGGTTTTTACTATAGGGAGTGTATGCTCACCAGAAGGACAGAGAGAGACAGAGAGAGAGCAGGTGAGAAATCACCCTGGGGGGATGGCCATGCCGCAATCCCTTCTCCTCCATTCTCCTCTCGGGATCTTGGGCACGCACACACACGTGCCCGGCGTGAGTTTAAGCCACTGGGTCCAGGACTCAAACCGCGGTCGACTCCATGGGAGTCCAGCGACATAGCCATTATACTAACTGCTGGCCCCATATATGTCATAATTGTCAAAAGCTGTAGGATGTTCGCCTGGATTGAACCCTGATGTCACCTGTGGTCTTTGGATGAGAAAGACCTGTCGTTGCTTCATCTGTCGCAGCGAATGTGCCACTGAGGTGCAGGGTCCACAGCTAGGGCGGCTGCAGTTGAGGCAGGGCTATGGGACCCTGTGCTTTGCACTTGATTTTGCTGTGAACCTACAACTGCTCTAAAACATACAGCCTATATTTTTTTCATAAAGAAAAAAATTATTTTTTTATGCCAGAAACCCAAAGAATTACACAGTTTACATTTTCTATTTAAAAATGGGGGGGAGGAAAGGTGAAGGCCAGGAAGTGTACATTGAAAATCTTGACAGTGGCCGATTCCTAGAAAACTACAGGCCAGACTGTCAATTGCTTCGTGATCTGTGATGAGAGGAGGAAGTACTGGAGATCCGGGATTCATTGTCTAAAGAGCAAGTCATTTAAGCTACCCTCATGCTCACTTTGCTGAAGACGCAATACTTGTATAAAAGTCTGTCTAGCACTCCCAGTTTGCAGAGTGCATGCTCGTTTTATTTCTCGGAGTCCTCGCCACATCCTGGTGAATTAGGGGGGATGAGGGAGCCTCATGATAGAGACAGGTGTGAGAGGTTTCAGAAAGACTCGCTTTTAAAGGCGGGAGAGAAATCAAAGCAGGCTTTAACGTCTCTGGGTGGCCGGGCCCATGAATGGTCATGGTGATCGTCATTCTTCGTTTAAAAATGCGGGTGGGGGAGTAGATTTGGAGATGTGAGATGTAACAGTCTCTTCTGTTTGGATGTTAGCTGCTTTTTTCTTCTTTTTATTGGAACTAAGGTGGATATGATTAAATTTAAACACTAACTCTGCAGCTCAGG